GATACATTTTTTGATTTGGAAAATGAATTATATTTTGGATTAAAAGTATGCATTACACAATATTATTCCAAGTAGGGAATAGTGTTGTACTATCTCAGTTATTCATTATGCTGTGTATTTTTGACATATTTCCAGGTCTATTTTTTCGTGTGATAAAGTATTTTATACTCCAAAAACATCCGTTTGTTGCATTTTGAAGATTTTTTCCTCATTTTGAATGGCATATTTTTAAACTCCCATTTTTTAAAATACTTTGATATCTGCCTGTGATTTTGAAAATGCTTTCTCTGCAAAGCATTGCCTGGCAAAAACATTCAATCAGGAAAATCAGTGACATGTATCCCCTCTGTGGGTGGCGTTTATTTCTGACCCTGAAATGTGTTTCTAATTTAGATTCTTACTCTAAACATTCATAAACTGATGGACTTGTCTCTAACAGCAACTTGCAAATCCTGCGCTAAAATAGATTGTCTCAGACTCCCCTTTCTTCCCCTAAACTGACCTGCCCTCGAGGCGAGCGTCCGCCAGCCCGGAGGCGGGGCCGAGGACGCGGGTTGTGTGCAAGCGCCTTGTAGAAGACCCTTAGGTTATTCCGTGTGCCCAACTGCTCTTGATATTTTTTAATAGTTCCCTTTTTTGTAGCTGGCAATAGTACGCACCTGTGGCCTTTCCAAAGCATGTGTGTGCGCCCGACCTTTTTGGATAGCCAGTGCAGACAGCGGGCTAGGCCGTTGCACGCCGCGTCTAACGCACTGATTTATCCTTGTTGCAGCCAACACCTCGGAACAGTTTTCCAATGTCAGTAGTCCCCTTCCCTTGGAGATGACCTCGCCCCCTCCCCTGCCCCCCTCCGCAGGTGTGGACGGTGCCCAGGACTCCTCGGCGTCCCCCGCCCCCTCGCCCTCAGCGCCACCCCCGGTGCCCCACCCCGTCCTCCGCCAACATGACCCTCTCCCTCGACGGCTACCTCGAGCCGCCCGCCTCTCCCTCACCACGCCCCACTTCTCGCACCAGCCCATCACCTCCCCTCCGAGGACTCCTTCCCCTACTTCTCCCCCCGCCCTACCCGCCCTCCGGGACCGCCACGCCCCCATGCGAGCCTCCGCCCCCGCCGCCCACGACATCGGGCCCCCCTGGCTGCGCGACCACCTGGCCTACCACCGCCCTTCGGTCTCCACCACGTCGCCGGCGATGTCCCACCACACCTGTAATGCCCCCGCTGCCGCCTCGCTTGTAGGAGCATGCCCTCGCGCGGAGAGACGTAGCGTCCTCCTCCCTCTCCTCCTCCTCCTTCCTCTCCCTTCGTCACCTGTCGACACACATACATTTCCCTCAGAGTGTCGTGTTTTTATTCGGTTTCCTCCTGTAGCGTCTTCAGAAGGGCAGGCCATCTTTTTTCTTCCCTTGACCTTGTCGAGTCCCGTCCTAGCATATGTCTTTTTTTTCGATTGTCCCCATTCCCTCATTTTCTTCCCATCCTCTCGCCTTCTTCCTTTTTTAATTGTTTGTTTACGTTCCTTTTCAGGAGAATATTTTTTTGGGTTGTTTTTTGTTAAGGTTTTTAAGGTTTTATATATTCTTGTCCTTTATGTTTCGTATTTTTGAAGCAGATTATTTTATTAGGAGTTTGGCAATTGTTTATTATTTATTTTCTACCCGACAGCGATTTTTAAAAAGTGGAAAAGATCAATAGAAAGTCCCAAAATATCTCTCCTTTATCTGCATTGGATTTTGAGAATCCTTCCGAAAACTAGTATTTTTTGAAGTTAGGAAAAGCGACATGGGCCCCCCTCTCTTCCCTTTCCCTCCCTTTCTTTCCCACCCCATCTGCCCCCATCCCTCAACCTCCCCTCCCTCCCACAATGTACCTCCCCCTCCCCCTCCTCCTCTTCTCTGTCCTGTCCATCCGTCCACCTTCTCGCTCAACACTGCCCCCCCCCTTCCCCTCCCGTCCCCCCTCCTCCCCCACCTCGGAAGCCTTGGTACACCCCATCAGAAAGCAGCCATCTCGTTCCCTTGTAGCGGCGCCGAGGTCCTCTCCTTAGTGTCTAAGTGTTGGAGGTGACCTTTTTTGGGGCGGTGTGTGTTCTGTTACATGACCTTCCGTGCCGCCTTCCGCCCCCCAGCAGGGAGGCGCCGAGCGAGAGCCACCTATCGAGGAGGAGCCCGCCGCTGGCTCCGTCCCGACGGCGGCCGAGGAGCCCCCGCCGCAGCCCGTGCACCGGAAGCTAGGCCATACCAGGAGCTGCCCCTTGTTAGATGGGGGCCAGCTTAGGGCACCTGACCCACGCGGTACTGGCCGTCGCGTGCATGGTAACATGAAGTCCGCATCCATCACTGCCCCAGCACCCTCCCTCCCTCCCCTAACCCCCTCTTCTTCTGACATCTATTTAACTCTCTCCCTCCTCCGCCTCCTCCTCCTCCCCCTCTCTTTAGCCCCGCAATGAAGCTTTCTAACTTCGTCCGCATCGGTGTTGTGGTGACCCTCCCTCCAGGGTGAGAAAAGTCTGTCTCGAGGTCACTCTTCGCTGTACAGTCCCTGGAGAGCCCTCGCTTGACCTCGTCTGATTCCTAACTGCACTCTTTCGGTCGACTTACGTAGATCTTAACCCCCCCCCCTCCTCCCTCCCCCTATTCGGTTTTCACTCGTGCAACTTTTTTTAACGGCATGCAAGCTGCTCTCACTAACTCAATCTTAATTTTTTTCTCTAACATTCACAGTCTTTTTTATTCCCCCTCCCCTTTAATTCGTCCTTTATCGCGTTGTATCACTATTCCCCTTCTTTTCTCCGACACACACTTCCTCAAAGATTTCGTTTGTTTTTCAAAGCACGTTTCTGAAGTTCAAGACAGGGACTTCTTCAGCACTTAAAAAATATATATATATTGCATCTCTCGTGTTTACGATATCCGATTTCTGAAAATTGTTGTATATTTGCCTATTGATCGCTTACTTATTAAAGATTCTTTATCATTTTCATCTTTTTTATCAATCTGCATCGTCTAACTCCTTTGCGAGACGAGTGAAATGGACTTTCCGTTGATTCGAAGCATGTCTGTGTGCATGGTTAATTCTGGCATTCAACACTCGTCATTATCGTTGTCCAGTGTCTTGTGCTCAGAAAGTTGGCACTTGGAACAGCATTGACGCCTTTATAAAGTGATCATACATGCTTCATGATCTGAGTTATTCATTTTATTTTCCATTTTCAGCGATATTTGCTCTAGATGAATATATTCTGAAATTTGGCTACCGAAAACTTACTTATTTTTTTCCTGCAATGCTTATAATGTATAGTTTGTCAATAAGAGGACAGCGTAGCTAAGACTAGATAATAAATACCATTCAAAACATCAAATCTGAAAATTGATGCAAAATCTCGCATTATTAAAAAGAAAAACAAAAAAACATTTTACCGTCAATTTTCTCCACAGAAAACGCAGGTGAGACTAGGACTAACTTATCTAATATTTATTTACAATTCTTTTTAATGTTATTTTTTTAACTTCTTATCTTCGGCGTCCTTTTTGTAATGTTTCTGCATATATATGTGTGTGTTTACGTGTCTCTGTGTAACTGTATATTAGTCTGTATTAAGTACAAACAATACACTAAACTTCGAACATAATTCTCGCATTTCACAAAACCCTGATTATTTTTTTTAACAACCTGTTTCGATGGAACACACTGAAGTATGTCTCATCAAACAAAGTTATATATAATAATCATTTGACGGATTTGGAATATCAGAAATACAACATGCTCTTGTAAATATGATTCTAGACCTTTTGTATTGTTGTCTTAAAAGATACCAGTCTATATAAAAAAGAAAATACATGCACACACGTATACATATGTGTGCGTGTGTGTGTGTGTGTGTGTGTGCAAATGTAAAGATATTTATTCATTCATTCATCCATACTGCAACCCTGACATACTTCTTTGTGTGACATTCCTGATTTTACAATCCTATGTTGACTGATCTACCTGTGCAAATATATCTCCGTGTATTAATTTCTCTGACTCTCTCATCACGAGAAGCAGGTAGTCAGCGCTATGATTTCTGAAACTTGTGTGAACGTCTTCTCTCATTTACTCGTTATTTACTCGCTATTTCCTCCTCTCTACAGCGCTATGATTTCTGAAACTTGTGTGAACGTCTTCTCTCATTTACTCGTTATTTACTCGTTATTTCCTCCTCTCTACACCTGGTCCCTTCCTCGTGGCGGTGGTCTGCCTCCTCACCACGCCACGCCTCTCGCTCTGGGGACAATATTCCTTTTTTTCCCACAAAGGAGAACTTGTTCACTCGTGTTTTTGGCGGAGGGATTTTGATGTGAATGTCTGTTTTGTTTTTTTACTAGAAAAGCATTTTTTGATAAACAGTTGTATATATATATATATATATATATAATATATATATATATATATATATATTATATATATATTATGTATATGTTTATTTATTTATTTATCCATATATATATTTATGTTTTTTTTATAATCTATCATCCCTCTTTTGTATGTGTACACACTTATTTCCTTAACTAACATCGCTAACTAACCGCTGCCGAAGTGGACAAGCCTCCTAACACACTATGGCATAATGGGTCTATTTACGAAGCCTTAGAAAGTCCTCTCTCTATATATAAAAAGTAAACGAGTCATTTAAATAAGTTAGTATAATAAAACACTAATAGTCTAGCTGCAAAGAATATTATTTAAGAAGTAAATAGATCCCATACACGACACTGCTCGCTAACTCTTCCATAACTCTCTCTCCATGTAGAATAGAGGTTTAAAACTCTACGCTCTTTCACGCCACATTTCATTCTGTCTGTGCATATAAATTGTTCAATAAATCTTTGCTAAAAAAGAATATTCTTTGTTTAAAAAGATGACGAATAGCAAAATGAAAGCTATATAAATAGATGAATATAAACATCTAAAAAGAAAAGAAAAATGTATAAAATCTGAAACACAACATACTGCTAATTTC